TATATACTGAGTGATAAAACTTATATATAGATATTTATAGATGTATAAATGTATACAGATGTATATATATATATATATATATATATATATATATATATATATATATATATATATATATATATATATATATATATATATATATATATATATATATATATATATATATATATATATATATATATATATATATATATATATATATATATATATATATAGATGTATAAAGAGAATTATATATAGATGTATAAATGTAAAGAAAAAAAAGAGAAACGCTATGTAGTAAAAGTAATAATAAATTCGTTTGTATATATTTGCGTTTTTAGAGTAAGTAAAGTAGATCAACACATTTTTAAAAAGTAAGCTAGTTGTTGGTTGACCGGTCGCCAAAGCAGTTTAGTATTTAGTCTTCCCTATATTTTTTGCTAAGCTATGGTAAATGAAAAAAGAAAATGATTGCAATAATTCTACGTGTCTGCTAACATTAAATTTAATATAATTTTATTATTAGAGTGGAACTGTCAATGTTACATCCCGAATAGTAAGTTGTAAAGAACAAGAAACCGCTATAACTTAAAAATCGCCTTCTTTGGGATTTGCATCGCTTTCCCCTCTGTGGCAATGTTATAACTCCCTCTCCTCGCCCCTTTTCCCAAAGAAGGCCAATTTTAAGTTATAGCCGGTTTCTTGAGGAATATAGTCGGCTATAGAAATTGATAAACATTAAAGACTTAAATTAAATAAACATTAAATAGGTTATAACAGCGGGAATTTTACCTAAAAATAAAATAAAGTTATTATTGAAAACACTGATTACACATTTATATGTTTATGCATTATGTTAATTCATTTGAAAAAATTAAAAAACGAAAGAATAAATAATAAATAATATTTTTAATATATAAATAATAATAAATAAGATTTTTGTGAATTTCGATTATTTTATTGAAATACTCTTTTTTTTAAAACATTATTAATTTTATGAAAATACTCTTTTTTTTAAAACATTATTAATGCTAAAGATAAAAAAAATAAAATGAGATAAAAAATTAGGTAATTAATCCATAACTTAGTTCTTGACTTTTAGTGAACAACTAAAATTCAGTCTTTAGAAGTAGTGAGTAATGAAACTAGCTTTATTTTACGTTTATTAACAACAAACGTTACAACAATGACATCACTACAATAAAACAAAATAAAACATATCATAAGATATTTGTAAGTACTCATCACATAACACTAAATATTCACCTAACTTTATTATATACTTCCAGAATAATTAACAAACGGCTACCAAACACAATCTAGCTCCAAATAACATTACTACTTAACCACAACCTGTTAACACTGAAGCTACGTAATATAAACACAATGTTCTTAATGAACAGAGCAATAATAAATTAGTAAAAAGATTATCTACATTTTTTGCTTCTTCATAATAAAAATAAAATAAAAATTTATAAAACTAATAAAATTTTTAAGCAAGTTTGATTAGAATAAAGATATCGTCACCTAAGAATTGATTTGTTCAACAGACCAATTTACATATTGCTGGTAACAGGGCCGGCGCAAGTAGGTGTCACGTGGGTGGGGGGGGGGAGTGCAGTTACAACTTTTGCTGACTAAAATAAAAAAAAAGAGCCTCGTTTTTTAAAATTTACCGACTGCCTTAACAATATTTACCGTCTGACTATCTAAGTTTACCGACTAACTTGTCGAAAGGGTCTACATTTGCCTACTAACTAGTCAAAAATGGTCAAATTTGCCGACTAAATAAACGAAAAAATCATTGATGGGGGAGGGGGGAGTGATTTAGTATTTAGTCACCCACCTCTGGGTAATTTTTGGGACCTCGGTCAGGAAGGTGGCGATTAAATGCACATCCGTGATGCTATGTGATAAAAACCGTAAGGAATTCTTGACGCACCAAAAAAAAATTGATTACATAATTAATAAAAAAATATTTAAAAAAATGGAGTCCAATAGGAATTGAACCCGGAGCACAAGAACCACGAACAAATTTATTAACCACTAGACAATATTTTATCGTCAGGAGTTAATAAAGTTTAAATAAAATGAATTTGTTTTGACATTTTTTATGTCACGGTCGTTTAAAAGCGGCATGTTGTTATACGCAAGCGCATTAAAAGTTTCAAGAGTTTAGATTTTAACGATGGCTACGGTCTTAGTTTACGAACGGTTTAGTTACGGTTTAGTTACGAAAATATTTATTTAATAACAACCATATATTTATAAATTTAGATATTAATAAAATCTAAATCTTATTCTTTGAATAAAATTATTTTTAGGATTAAAAAGTTTATTGATAATAAAATGAAAATAATTTGACCGCAAAGGTGTCAGTATATTAAAAAATATTTTTTATGCAATTAAAAACATTTTTTTTTTTAAATTCTCATTTGTTTACTTTTTTTAAATTCGTTAAAAAAAATTCTGAGCGTTAAAACTTTTTTTTTTAATTTTAGAATAGTATGTTCTTAATTTGTTTCTTTTTTGTGTTTGTTGGATTCAATTTTTTTTTATGTCAAAGTATAACTCTACAAACACTTGTTTTTAAAACGCTAACTTTTATTTATTAGCAACTTACTCTCTGTAGCATCAGCTGCATAGAGACCAAGAAAATATTTTGCAAAATTTTCATAAACTGATCAATTGATCAGTTTATGAAAATTTTCATAAACTGATCAATTGATCAGTTTATGAAAATTTTGCAAAATATTTTCTTGGTCTCTATGCAGCTGATGCTACAGAGAGTAAGTTGCTAATAAATAAAAGTTAGCGTTTTAAAAACAAGTGTTTGTAGATTTTTTTTTCTCTCTAATATGAAATGAAACTCGAGATATTTTCGGTATTGAGCAAATGTCTATATGTGTTTGATCAAACACATATAGACATTTGCTCAATACCGAAAATATCTCGAGTTTCATTTCATATTAGAGAGAAAAAAAAATTATCGATTTAATAGCACTAATTATATTTCTTAGCGCATAATTTGCCATTAGTTCTATCATCTCGTTAACAATATCACGAGACATGTACTTACTGTTTGACAGCCAGGTCGATAGAGGTGGATAATCTTTATTCCTCATTAAAAGTAACTGATTAAGATTGTCTTTAGTTTCATCATTTCGTCGAATAGCTAAGCCTTGTTGAGTAACACATTTTAATGTAGAGATTTTACGAATTAATCACTCTTAATGCTTATTGCATTGCTTATCATGCATTTCACTTATCATTTGATGTAACTATTTTAAACCAGCAACACGTTGTGGCTGAATAGCTTAGTTGGTAAGCGGGTCGAACGAAAAATTAAAAACTGGGCTGTTGAACGATACGGGTTCAAATCCTGCCACCACCAACTCAGCGCTTGAGTATTACTTTGGTACGCAAAAAAGTTTGTCAATAAAAGACGCTACTTTGGATTAGTCTTCATGACTATTTGTGGCTGTTTCTATGCTAAGCCAACAATATCCTCGGATATACATAGTATAGAGAAAACTTGCTTGAAAATTCAAGTAAATAAATAAAAAATAAAATAAAAAAGTGTAAATAATTTTTCCTGTGCCTATAAAATGATGATAGGTCGAGTTTTTTCAGTCTTTCTACAGCCTTTTTCCAATAGTCATAACCAATTGTCAAAAAATTTTATTCACTGTATTTTGAAAAGGTTACCAGATTTTTTTTGACAGCACCAATCCAAATATAACAAAATACTTTTTTTTGGAATAACATAGATGAATCCAAGGGTAATCTATAATCAATTTTTTATTGAAAAATCTAAGTTGTTTGCCATGCATTTTTTTGGTTGCTTCAATATCGGCAGTATTATTTCTTTTTTTTTTGGCCTTCCATTGTCGTATACAAAGTAAGAAATCAGTGCCTGCTTTTTTATGAGACGGTTCCGTCATGACTCTTCGCAGTTGTAAGAAAATACTATTCGTAAGATTAGGAATTGTGAATTATGTAAAATGTACTTATGTATAGATTTATTTAATATTTACAACCGTTAATCGCTCTTTAGTGGATTGTAAAACATTGTTCAAAGCAAACACATAAAGCTATTATTTTGAACACAAAACGGTAATCAGGGCAGGATTAAGACATTTTTAGGCCTGGGGCTGTAAGTATAGGAGGGCCTAATATGGCGGTCAGATAAAAATACCGAGCGCTAGCGAGGCTTTACCGGGGGTCTGGGGGGAGGGGTTTGGAAGCAGGCAGGCCCCCTAAGTATGGGATCTTAAATTTATTACAGGCTTAAATTTTTTTTAAGTCTTGCTAATAAAAAAACATAATCTAGGTATGTTTTAGAGCGTTTTTTAATCATTTTTTACCAGTTGGTTAGGTACCGTTACCCCTCTTTGGCCCAGACACCAAAATATATGTAAACTCTATGTACTATTTAGTTAATTGTACTATTTAGTTAATTGTTAATATGTACTATTTAGTTAATCAATTAACTTTAAAATAGTTTTATATATTGACTTTTCTTGCCTTTTCTGAAGCAAACATCTTGATCACTACTGTGAAATCTCTTGATCTAACTATGTCACTTTCAATACATAATAAAGCCAAATCATTTAAGCGAGGTTGTCCCATTGTTGATCTAAGTTCATACGGCCCTGATGTTATATATATATATATATATATATATATATATATATATATATGTATATATATATATATATATATATATATATATATATATATATATATATATATATATATATATATATATATATATATATATATATGTATATATATATATATATATATATATATATATATATATATATATATTTATATATATATATATATATATATAACTTGAAATATGTTTATAACCAATAAGTAAAAAAAGTTACAAAATAAACAATAAACGAAATATTTCATTTTGTTGACTAACTTTTTTTACATATATATGCCTAATAAATACATATAAGTTTTTATATACATACATAAGTATGTATAGACCTTTTCATAAA